CTACCAACTGAGCTATATCCCCGGTCTTGCTTTAGTGCTTGTTGACCTGGGACAAAGCAGTACCTCCTGGCAGGAGCCCATGGTGGAACAAAACTGTTTACTTTATGGTGATCAGGAAGCAATAGAGAGAGAGAGGGGAAGGGATTGGATCCTACAGTGTCCACTTCAAGGGCACAACCCCAATGACTAAACTTCCTCCCACTCTGCCTTCTCTCCTAAAGGTTCTACCACCTCCCAATAGCCCACAGGCTGGGAAGCAAACCTTCAGTGCATGGAACTGTGGGGAGCTTTCCAGATCCAAACCAGAATGATATCCATTAGAATACCCTCAGCTACAAGAAGCAGGCCTCATAGCTCAACTAGTTAAATGATGATGATACCTGGCATGGGGAGTCAGTGAGGCTCCGGGTCTGGCTGATCCTGGCTCAGCTGTCGCCATGGACTGGGGACCTTTCTCTCCTTTTGCTTTGTCAGTGTGGCATTCTGGCAAGCAAGGTAACAGGTTTAGGAAAAGGCTTCACATCCAGGCATGACAGCAACCAAAGGATGTTCCAGAATGCCCCTCTCCCCAGCAGACTTTCCTTCACAAGTTAAGACTCAAAGTGGGCCAGGCTAGTCTGACTGCAGTGTAGGGGAGGAGAACGGGAAAACAAAAACCAAAGCAAACCAGTTTAATGGTAGGAAGGTGGACCGTGAGAGGCGTGGAGGGCAGGGGACCAGCTGTGTTCAGCCTCACCTCCGTGCACTCATGCTAGGACTGGTGTCTGCCATGTGGGAGGTTTCCCTAACTCCTCTCTGCCTCCCTCGTGAGCTACACCTGTTCATATAGGTCTGTAATCCTGAGGCAGCTGATTGGCTGACAAAATCCATCTCCATTCGGTACTTTCAAGCTCAAAGAGGCCATTGTGCTGCCGCTAGATTCTGGGTGAACTGACCCAAGGCTCGCATCCTGAACACACCTGTGGGATGTGATAAGATTGGGCGCCATAGTTCTCTTTTCCAATCTGATTATGGTGTGGAAATATACATAGCACACAAACTTTCCCTTTAGCCACTGTGAAAGAAAAATTGGAGGCAGAGTACAATATTAAAGAGTTTATTTGAATAAGAAGCAACCCCTGAATTGGGAACTGGAGAAGACCAGACCAAAAGAGAATCAGTGTCACCACGGCAAAATGTCAGAAGGAAAATCACAAGAAAATCAACCACATCCCCCCCTTCCCTGCAACAGTGTGCACAGCTGGAGTCCCCACGTCCTTTTGGCAAGTTGCTAGGTCTCTCTAAGTTTCCAAGGCCACTCCAGGTGTGTGTTTGTGAACATGATGTGAATTCTTGTTGATGGCAGGAGGACCCTTCTTCCACCTCCCTCTTTGCAGGGACCATCTGCCGGGTCTGAGCTGGAAAGGAGGGTGCACGTGGTGTTTTAAAGATGGCACAGAATCTCTGCCGTTTCTCCTTTAGGTGTGGTATCCTCTTCCTTCACCCCAGATCTGAGCAGGTCTCTGGTGGCCTTTACCAAGACAGAGTGAGAGGTGGGAGGTCCTTGAAGACCAGCGGCTGTGGGCTTGCTCCCTGGAGCAGCACGTAGGGGTGTGACATCCTAAAACCCACGCCGTGTGAAGACACCTCGGAGAGAGGCAGCTCCTGTCAAGGGCCAACGCCCATCCAGACGTGAGGGAAGAGGCCGTCTGGGAGGGAAAGGCTTGGCCCCAGCCTCCCTGTTGACATTGTGCAGCTCAGAAATAAACTTCCCACTTGAGCTCTCCCCTCAGATTCCTGACCCACAAAACTGAGCAAATCAAAAACCTCCTTAAAATGAATTATTAAGTCAAATGGATGCTCTGAGCCATGAACCTGTGGGGTATTTTGTCACATAGCCGTGGGTCATTGGAAGGAAGTAACGGACCCTCAGGGAAGATGAGGGTGTGGTATGTCATAGTCACGACACCCTGACACCCGCAGGTACGGGATCAGAACGCCAGTGACGTTCTGTGGCCAAACTCACACTCCTGGGGCAAACGCTCCTTGGTCTAGTGGTGTTATCCTTTTTATATTTATAGAATTTGATGAACAAAATCATTATTATATATTCAGAGTAGACTGCATGTGGTTCATTAGGGTGTTTATAATTTTTCCTGTAATGTGTCTTATTTTAGCCTTTAGGGACTCTTCAGCTCTACCTTTAGCAGGACTTCCACTGCCACTTTGGTCCCTGTGAGGAGACAGTGGGCTAGTTTCACCTGGTCATAGCCACCCTGCCTGATGTCCCTCAGGGCCTCATCGTGGTCCATGAAGGTGGTCTCACAGCAGAAACTGGGACCCTGCAGCCGTACACTGCTGTGACAACTCTCAATATACATCCTAAGCAGGAATACCAACCAAGGACGCCAGCTAAGAATACAATAAAATAAAAAGAACAAACCCAGACAAAAAACCAAGACCAACCAACCAACAAACAAGCCCAAATCAGTAAAATAAAACAAGAAAAAATAGAATCAAAAGTCCACATTGTTGCATGCATAAGGCCCTGGGTTCAACTCCCAGCACAACCACAACAAAGACCACAGTGGGGCCTGGAGCTGATGCTCAGTGGTAGGGTGCTCACCTAGCATGCGTGAGGACCTGGGTTGGATCCTCAGCACAACGTAAAAATAAAGTTATTGTGTTCATCTACACCTAAAATAAGAAAGAAAAACAGACTACAACCACCAAACGCACCGACTCTCTGGTGGTCCCACAGGTGGCCACCAAGAGCTTCCTGCACTTGTGGACAAAGCCCAGGTGCGGCCACCCTCTCCTAGACCCACGGTTTGAAATTCCCTCACAACAGCTCTTTGTGACGTCAGATCAAGAAATGTCCCAGTCACCTTGGGCTTCACCCCGAGAGGTCATCTCATCTTTTGGCCTTTAGAACCTTTTCAACTTTTATAATAAGAATAAGAAAGGATTCCAGAAACTTGTGGCTTCAGTGGGTTATGGAGTTATATTCACTTGTTTGGAAATTAAAAATTGTAAGATGATTCAAAAAGAATTGACAGAGTTACAGAGTGATGTTACTATACACTTTTTTTCATGGGAAAAATAAAATACATAATGCAACACATAGGTTTGTGTTTTAGAATTCATAAGTGCTTACACATATGGTACTTTACTAGGTATCATTCTACATGCTGTACAGATATTAATTTATTTATTATCACTTCATTAAAAAGCCATCGATTTACCATAGGGCAGTGAGAATCACTATCCATGGCAAGTCAGGAAATGTTCAAGTTCAGCGTATAATCAATTTTGAGGATGGCACTCATTTTGTTACATTATTTCACTACATGGGTTAGATGAGAACTTACAGGAGAATGATTTAGTTTCCCTCCCATGTGAATACTAAATTTCTTTTTATCCTTAAGAAGAAAAACACTTTGTGTTTTATGATTTCAACAAGTTATCAATCTTATTCTTCAACCAACCCCCATAAATTTTAGTTGTTACCCTTCATATTATTTTTATGATGTGGCATCCGACCCCCAAATGAATACTGACAGGAGTGGGGTTGGAATTCGTGGCATAATACATCACTCGTATAATCTACACCCCCTAAGAGATGTGTAAATCATGCATTCTTGGGCAGCAGGACAGGAAGAGTTACCACGTGAGCCAGCAAAGGAACTCTGAGCACATCTGTGGAATTTCGGAGCCCTGGCTCAAGAGTGAAAGACCACTTGAGATGGTCACCCCGTGGCTGGGAATACAGCCTCCAAGGAAGGTGGTGGTACATCACTTCAAGAGGCCAGATAGGTCTCCATTTCTGAGGCTGCCATGCTATCAGGGAGGATGCTGCTCTCTCTGCATGGACCTTATGGTTCTTCAGACCATTGGATTCCTCCTGGGGGGCGGGGGGGTTGACTATTGAATTAACACTCAATAAAAATAAGTAGACTGCGGCTCTGCAGACAGTGGTGCATGCTCAGGAGAAAATACAGCAGCAAAGAGGATAAGATTGGTTAGGTTTGGGATTAAGGTGGTGAGGAAGGATCCACTAAGGAGGTGACATTGAACAGGACCTGGAGGGGGGGAAGCAGCATGCCACATGGCCTGTCAGTGGGGGACAGTGTTCATCCTGTGGGAAGACCAAAACAGCCCGTATGGACAGGCTGAGTGACTGGGGGACAGGGAGTCTCATGGGGTGCAGGGTACAGGAGAGCATACATAGTTGGCTAGCCAATGAGAGGGAGTTGGCTTTTCCTATAGATGGGAACAATTATAGGGAAGATTAGTGGGAGAGGAGGAAAAGTTGTAAATTGGATTTCAAATGCATCTTCCCAGCTGATGTGTGAGATTAAATTTAGCTCAGCAAAGACAGAAGCAGAGAGAGCAGGTAGGAGGCTACTCATCTAAGAGGTCATGGAGGCTTGGATTATGGTCCAGGTGATAAAAATTGGATGCTTTAGGGTTAAAATCAGAAGGTAGAGCCAACACATTTGCTACAGGATTCGAAGTGCTAAGTGAGAGAAGTCAAGTCAAGGATGACTCAAGGTCTCTGCCCCCATTGATATCTATCCTGAAATGAGAGAGATTGTCTGTAGCCTACGCACATTTAGATATTTCAGAATTTCACATGCCTCTCAAAACACAAGTGGAAATGATGGGTATGTCACTGCTCACAGGATATGGGAGTTCAGGGCAGGGCTCCAGGGTGAAGACTTCTGTTTGGTTGTATCAGCATATAGTTGGCGTGAGATGGCGTATGATCGCCAGGGAATGAGCCATTCCAACATTTAGAAGTTATGTTGGGTAAAGGAAATAAATAAAAAAGGAGATGGAAAAAGAATGACCAACGTGGTCAAAAGAAAACCAGGGGAACAAAATACATAAGAAGCCAACCTTGGAAGTGCTTCAAGGCTGAGGATTCATTCCTGCTAATGGATCAAATAAGATGAGGACTTAGAGTCAATCTTTTTTTTTTTTCTTTTTTAAATTTATTTATATTTATTCTTTTAATTTACCTAAAATACCAGGATATTGTGACGTTCTCACAAAGGTAAGGGACTTGGCCTGCTCTGATTTAATCCCCAACACTTCATTCCTGATGCCTTCTCAAAAACACTCTCTTCAATCCATTTGGGATTAAGAAAAAGGGAAAGTCACTGAAGACCTTGTCAGGAGTAGCTTTTGCAGAGAGGTGGAGATGACATCCTGCCAGAAACGAGTTCAAGGTCAGTGGGAATTGCGAAGTAATGGCCTCTGAAAACTCTCTGCCTCATGAAAGTCATGGAAAAACTAACAAAATTTCCAGAATCAACTTTCTAAGAAAACTGGAGATCAACCAACAGCTTGTCTCCATCTAGAGAGCTTTTATGCAAACAGACCCGCCAAGTGTCAGTAGGAATAGCAAATCACAGGGGGCTTTAATCTGCCCGTTCCTATTCCTGCTTCCCAGCTTCCCAGAGGCTTGGAGGAGTGGCCGGCTGGAAGTCAGCAGGAAGGGCAGAATGGAGGCGGAGCCTCTTCAAAGTCCCATTCCCAGGGAACGGTACTGATCCGACCGTCTGGTGGCTTCCTGGAAGACATCACTGGAAATGCTGGTGGTGGATGGTTTTGTTTTGTTTTTTATTGTTTTCAGAGCAAGAACAGTTTTCTTCCAGAGGCCTTTGTTGAAAACACAAAACAAAACAAAACAATCAAACAAACACAAACAATAACAATCAATAGAAAATGTCCCCGAGGAAGGCAGACTTTGGACCTACCAGACCAAACACTTTGAATCAGCGACTTCAAGTAGGTACAGAGAGCTAGGGCAGCTTCTACGTTTAAAGAAATAAGAGACAATGTAAGAATAATATCTTAATAGAAAATACAAATTAAGCCACGTCAGGTGTCCAAGAGACGTAGGCTCCCAAGAGCGCATCGAGAGGCAGAATGGGCGGCTCCGATGCTGTTGTCTCTAACTCGGATCAGAAAGGTGCAGCAGGAGCTGTGGGGATGGAAGATCAAACAGGATATTTTTTAATATGGAAGAAATAGCAGCATGTTTGATTGATATAGAAATTAATCCAGGATAGCAGTAAAATTGTCACTGCAGGAGATAGCCGGGGGGAATGTTGGTGGTCCCCAGGGATATGCTTTGGAAACTTCTGCCTTGGTCAAGTGCAATCACCTTCAGAGGAAGCAGAAAGACGATTCAGCAAGAGCTGCACAGGGTGAGCACTCGGGTTGTTGTTGTTGTTGTTTTTCCTCCATGAAATAAGGGTAAAAGTTTCAGCTAATAGCAAAAAGGCAGAATCCATGGTGGGGATCTGTGGAGACAGCAGAGGCAGGCCAGCAAACTGAGGAGGGGAAAACTGGGGCTGGGCCAGCAGAGTCAGGTGATTTCCAGCCTATTTTAATCTAATGGTACCTGCCTGGGGAGCAGGTCAACCGTGGATTGGACCAGGATCTCTTCCCATGCAGTCATTGGGAAAACCCTCCTTCCACTGCGTCTGGAGGTGGCCCTTGCTTTGCTGCTTCCACTATAGTCAGTGTCCTTGGATCCCCTACCCTAAGTCACCTCTGTCCCACCCTCCTACTGTCAAGTCACCTCAAGTCACCGTCAAGTCCTACTTCCAAGTCACCTCCCTTTTGTCCTTGAAGATCTTCACCCCTGGCTTACTGTCACTTGCTCTAACACGACTCCTATTTCACTTCTCCATGATTTTGACAAACATGCAGAAAATCCCGGAAGATCTTTGTGCCTCGTTGACCTCTTGTGCAGTGATCTTGTCCTGCACCCAACCTGAGCGGCCCCCTTCCATGGTACACCAGCTTCTTCACAGGTGCCTGACAATATAAAAATAAGAGGAGGGTATAAAATCAGTATGTCAGAAATGTTCAAAAGTACAGAAAAAGAAATGATTCTCCAAAACAAAAGCATGACACTTATGAACTGCCCCCCCCAAAAAAAAACCCCAGATACAAAAAAATCCGGGATCTTGGAACTGATCAATACGACCATAAAAATAGCAGCTTATACACATTTAATAATAAGGTTTACAGAGTTGAGAAAATCAAGACTTTGCAGGTAAAGTGGAGAAAATCCTTTAGAAGGCGGAACTCAGAAGACACATCTGAAAATAGGGACAACATGAAAGGTAAGTTGGGAGGAATGGAGACAGATGTGCACAGAGGTCTCTGTGTTCTAGGAATAGAGATAATGGGTGAGATCCAAAGGTGCTGTCTAGGAAGCCTCCAGAAACTAAGATAAGAATCTTCAGATTGAAAAGATCTACCAAGTCTCCAAGAGAATAAATGAAGGTAAATTCATATTAAGAAATATTAGAGCAAAGCTATAGGTTAAAGAGAAAAATCCTAAAGACCACCAGAGAGAAAAGACCAATCAGCTGTGAAAGGTTGACCATCAGATTTACAGCCAATTTTTCAAAAATGCCACTGAACAACCGGATCGCGTATTTATGGTGTTAGAGCACATGACTGAGGACTTCAAATCCCATACCTAGCTAAGCTATGCTTCTGAAATGAGGGGCTGGTTCTAAGAGGATGTTTCAATACATATGAAGGAGGTTCTTTTTGTTAGATTGTTAGCTCTTCACAGAAAGTCCTACCAAGGTCGTATTTTAGGAGGAAGAAAAGAAATGAGAAGCAACCATGAAAGAAATAAAACATGTCTGTATGTCTCAAGAATTTCTTATGAAGTAATTATTTTTTAACAACCTCGTTAAAGAAATGGCATTGGCCTTGAACAGACACTTTGCCAAATAGAAGAGGAGGTTAGAAGATGAACACATGCAGAGATACATGTCGTTGACAGAGGCATGCAAACTCGAGCCACAAGGAGAAATAACTGCATGTGGATTAGGATGGCTCCAATAAAAAGACCTGGCGGGAATGAGGAGCAACTGCTTCTGTCCCACGCTGCTGGTGGAGATGTGCAGTGGTTACAGCTGCTCTGGGAAACAGTTTGGCCATTTCTCATAAATTTAAATATAATATATGACATACTTGTCAAACAACCGAGCAATTCCACTTCTAGGTATTTACCCAGATGAACCGAAGACTCATGTCCTTACAAAAACCTCCACATAGATACTTATAGCACCCTGTGCATGGTCTCCAAACGTGGAAACACCAAATTGTCTTTCAACAGGTGAATGAATAACTGGAGAGACCGGAATACTATTCAGCCATAAAAGGGAGAAACAATAACCAGAATGAATTTCAAAGGCATTATGCTGAGTGAAGGGAATCAGTCTCCAAGACTACATGCTGGACGATTCTACCTAGTGACATTCTCAACAGGGTGAACGTTGGTGATGGGACTGGTCAACGGTTGTGAGGGATGGAGGGCAGGTGGTTCTCTGACAATCAAAGAACAGCGCAAGGGGCTTGGTTGAGGTTATACCGTTCATTGTTCTGAATCCTGATTAGGATGGGAATGACTGCAATCTACACATGAATTAAACTTCCTAGAACTATACCTCAAAATGATCAATTTCATTATATAATAATTAAAAAAAATTTTAAGAACATCTTAATAAGTACTGGTTATAAAATAAATAAAAAGAAAAAAAATATTTATTTCATGAAAGCTAGAAATAAAATACCAGCCAATGCCATGTGAGACAGAATAGTTTGGAGGAAAGTTAAAATATAGTGAATTCTTAATCTTATTCAGAAGAACAGACTACTTACCCAGTGTGTCTCAGACTTAAGTTTAACTATGTATATTTGTTAAGAATATCCAATGAAATAGAAATATGATGTATGTCTTTCAAACAAAATAGTAAGTAAAACTTTAGCTCAACAAAAGTCAAAAAAGGAAAATATAGAATTAAAGAGCAAAATCCTACCAACAAAGAAAAGTGTAAGCCCAGATGGATTCTCAGCTGAGTTTTACCAGACACTTACAGAAGGACTAACAATCCTCCTCAAATTATTCCAAGAAATGGAAAAGGAGGGAACCCTTCTACACTCATTCTTTGAGGCTAGTATCACCCTGATACCAAAACCAGACAGAGACACGTCAAGAAAAGAAAACTCCAGACCAATATCCCTCATGAACATAGATGTAAAAATTCTTAATAAAACATTGGCAAATTGCATATGAAAACACATTAAAATAACAGTGCACCACGATCAAGCGGGGTCCATTCCAAGGATACAAGTTTGGTTCAACATAACGGAAATCAATAAAGGTAATTCATCACATAAATAGATTTAAAGACAAGAATGGCTGATTACCTCAATAGATGCAGAAAAAGCATTTGGCAAAATACAGCATCCCATTCATGCTCAAAACACTAGAAAAACTAGGGACAGAAAGGACTTACCCAAACACTGTAAAAGCTCTGTATGAGAAACCCAAGATGGACATCATTGTAAACAGAGGAAAACTGTAAGTAGTCCATCTGGAAACTGGACACAGATGCCCTCTTTCACCACTTCGATTCAACATAGTTCTGAAAACTCTAGCCAGAGAAATGAGATAGAAGAAAGAAATTAAAAAGATACTAATAGGAAAAGAAGAGGTGAAACTATCTTTCTTTGTAGATGACATGATTCTATATTTAGAAGTCCCCAAACCTCCACAAGAAAACTGCTAGAACTCATAAATAAATTCAGCAAAATAGCAGGATATGAATTAACACCCAGAAATCAATTGTGTTCCTCTACTCCAATGAAAAATCAGTTGAAAGAGAAATTAGGAAAAATCATCCCATTCACAATAGCCTCAAAAAAAAAAAATCCAACAAACAAACTGGGAATCAATCTAACAAAAGAAGTAAAGGACCTCAACAATGAAAATCACAGAACACAAAATAAAGACATTGAGGGAGACCACAGAAGAGGAAAGTCCTTCTATTCTTGGATAGGCAGAATTACGATTTTCAAAATCGGCCATACTACCAAAAGCACTTTATAGACTTAATGCAATTCCCATAAAAATTCCAATGATATTCTTCATAGGCAGAAAAAGCAGTCACGAAATTCATCTGGAAAAACAAGAGGCCCAGAATAGCCAAAGCAATCCTTAACGAGAGAAGCAAAGCAGGAGGCATCACAAGACCAGACCTCAAATTAAACTACAGAGCTATAGTAACAAAAATGGCCTAGTGTCAGCACCAAAACAGACACGAAGACCAAAGGAACAGAATACAAGACACAAAGACAAGCCCATGTAAATGCAGTTATCTCACACTAGACAAAGGCACCATAAACATACACTGGGTGAAAAATAGCCTCTTCAACCGATGGTGCTGGGAAAACTGGAAATTCATACATAGCAAAAATGAAATTAAACTTCCATCTCTCAACCTGCACAAAACTCACTCAAAGGGGAGCAAAGACCTAGAAATTAGACTAGAAACCTCGCACGTCCTAGAAGGAAAAGAAGGCCCAACTCTCCTCCATGTCAGCTTAGGAACCAACGTCCTCGACGAGACTCCCAAAGCACAAGAAGTGAAATCAGTGATCAATACATGGGGTGGTCTCAAACTCAAAAGCTTCTTCGCAGCAAAGGAAACAATCAAGAACATGCGAGAGGACCTACAAACGGGAGAAAATCTTTGCCACCTGCATCTCAGATAAAGCATTCACCTCCAGGATCTATAAAGAACTCAAAAAACTTAAACACCAAAAAGTCAAATAACCAATCAATAAATGGGCAAAGGAACAAAACAGACATTTCTCAGAAAAGGTTAACAAATGTATAAAAAAAAATGTTCACCATCTCTAGCAATTAGAGAAATGAAATGAAAACTACACTGTGATTCCACCTCACTCCAGTCAGAATGGCGATTATCAAAAATAGAAGCAACAATAAATGTTGGCGAGGGTGTGGGGGAGAGGTGCACTCATACACTGCTGGTGGGACTGCAAACTGGTGTAACCACTGTGGAAAGCAGCATGGAAATTCCTCAGAAAACCTGGAATGGGACCACCATTTGACCCAGCTGTCTCACTCTCCAGTTCATATCCAAAGGATTTAAAATCAGCAGGGCTGGGGCTGGGGCTCAGCAGTAGCACACGTGCCTGGCATGTGTTAGGCACTGGATTCAATTCTCAGCACCTTGTATGAATAGATAAGATAAAGGTCTATCAACAACTAAAAAAAATTTAATAAAGAAAAAAAATCAACATAGTACAGAGATGCAGCCACAGTGATGTTTATAGCAGCTCAATTCACAATTGCTAAGCTATGGAACCAACCTAGGTGCCCTTCAACAAATGAGTGGATAAAGAAAATGTGGTATATATACACACAATGAAGTATTGCTCAGCCATAAAGAAGAATGGCTTAATGGTGTTTGCAAATAAATGGATGGATCCAAAAACTCTCATGCTAAGTGAAATAAGCCAGTCCACAAAGCCAAAGGTCCATGTTTTTACTGATATGAGGAAGCTAGACTACAATAATGGGAGAGAGGGGAAGAATATATATTCAGAAGATTAGACAATGGGGAATGAAGTCACTATAAGTGTTTACCCCACATCATGCTAAAACAAAGCAGAGCCTAAGTAGATCAAATTATCACAGACTTATACGTACTTAACAACACTGTTGAGAAATACAGAAAGCATCCAGGTGCAGTGGTGCATGCCTGGAATCCCAGGGCTTGGGAGGCTGAGGCAGGAGGATCGTGAGTTCAAAGCCAGCCTCAGAAACTTAGTGAGGGCCTGAGCAACTTGGCAAGACCTTATCTCAAAAGAAAAAATAAAATGTTCTGGGGATGTGGCTCAGTGGTTAGGCACTCCTGGGTGCCGCAGTCTGGCTGGGCACAAGTCACGAGCCACTGAAGCAAGAACAAACTTTATTTTTTAACTGCAGGAAAAAACCTCACACACACTCCTGGGGAATCCTCCCGAAAAGCCACGAGGCTCCTGCAGGAACCCCCAGCCGGAAATAGCTCCCCGGGAAATCCCTCCTCCTGCACTTGGCCAACCAATGGGAACGCCAGGGGAATCCCGTGAGAACTCAAAATAGCGCAGGAAGTCCAAAAATAGCGCGAGAACCAAAAAGTAGGGGCAGAGGCGGATAATGCCTCGCCTGTCAATCAATACTGTTGGCAAAATGCCCAGGAGCCATACAGACTCGGCTGTGGCTCTCAGCACCTGGGTTCAATCCTTGGTACCAAAAAAAAAAAAAAAAACAAGCAAGCGAGCAAAACCTGACATAATTATGGGAACAAATTTACAAAATCACAATCACGGAGTTCTTCAACAAGTTTTCTTCAGGCACTGATTAATCAAACAGGCAAAAAAATAAGACAAAGAAGATTTAAATTGGTGCTTCTCAAAGTCTGGTCTGCATTTAAGTGTGCTACAAGATGAAGAACTTGTGCTCGAGTGTGTCACCTTGCACGCTATGCTCACTGTTCAGCTAGTGATTTTACTAAGCAAGACTTCCTGGGTGAAGGAAGCCGTGCACTGACGTGCATTCCATCTTGTCGTGCACCTGAAGGAGTGTCCACAGACGGCCTGCTTTGAGTGATACTGATCCTTCTGTAGAGATTTCTGGTGACCAGCTGTTTGACATAATAGTGGTTTAAATCGTACCTTTTTCTTTCCCACTGAACACCATCTCCAGCCCTTTTTATTTTGAGACAGGGTCTTGCTAAGTTGCCCAGGCCGGTCTCAGATTTTGATCCTCTTGGCTCAGCCTTCTGAGTCTCTGGGATTACAGGCATCTGCCCCTGCATTAGGCTAAATCATATCCAAAAGATCATTTTTTTCCTAAGAGTTTACATTTCTTTTTTTTTTTTTTTTTTTAAAGAGAGAGTGAGAGAGAGGGGGACAGAGAGAGAGAGAGAGAGAATTTTTTTAACATTTATTTATTTTTTCTTAGTTCTTG